TTTGCTTTACTGGGATATACAACTTCTTATACAACTTTTACATAAAATAGAAAAAAGACAAAGTGAACGCCACTCCAGCAACCTTGACACAAGCCCCAGCTAAGTTCTAGAAGTACCCATTTACCCCTCCCTGGCCACAAACCTGTCCTCTTCCAAGAACCTGCTAAGGTTATCATTCCTTGCCCAGCCCTGTCTTTTTTAAACACAATTTTATCTTGAATACATGCACCCATAAGCTAGAGCTTAGTTCTTGCTGGAACACAGCAGGGGAGTGTCCAGGACAGCCTTCCCACTATATACAGTGGCAGAGTCAAGTAGTTGTGGTTTCAGCAGAGACCAGTTAAGTCTAAATTATCAACTATCTGGAGTTTAAGGGGAAGTCTTCCAACCCTTATTAATATAGCTTAGAGTTGTATGGTTGTAAACTTTATATAAACTGAATCACAGCATATATTTTTGTGATTCGCTTCTTTCCTTTAGCATTGTGAACTGATTCATGTTACATGTAGATTCTTAATATGGGTTCAACCATCCATTACCTGGGTTGGTGGACGTCCTTGAGCTGGGGTAGGCTAAGAAAAAGTGCCATGTTTTCATGATCCTGGCGGCCCAGTGGAGGCTTGGGGTTGACTCTCAGCTTATCTATTTTTCCGTTGTGAGACCTTGAGCAGTCACCATCCCCAAACAAGTCTTGCTTTCAAAGTGAGAGTGTGGATGGTGCCTAACACACCACAGGAAATGGTGTCAGCTGTCTTTCCTACCTGAAGCCACGCACGAGGTGGAAGATGAGCTTGGGAGAAGAGATGCTGAGCAGGGTCAGGTCTGAAGGTCGCGGCAATCCCTGCAACTAGAACAAATTCTGATACATACTGGGTGTTACACTTGCTCAGGCTCCTTGTCAAATGGTAGCTGGGGAAAGACAGTGGTTATCTCACCATTGCATCGGAGTGAGGCTGGGGCTGTGTTCCAGGGCATAGCCTGATTTCCAGGCCAATGTGCTTTCTTTCCCCTACCATATCTTTTTTTACAAATTAAAAATTAAAAAAAAATTTTTTTGGTAGTACTGCAGATTGAAGCTAGGGTCTTGGTACTCAGCTACATCTCCATCCAATTTGTATTTTATTTTATGTTATAAATTTTGAGACAGGCTCTCACTAAGTCATTGAGTTACTCAGATTGGACTCAAACTTGCCGTCTTCTTACCTCAGCCTCCCGGAGTCCTGGGGTTACAGGTGTGCACCACCACCCTCAGCTCTCCCTGCTTCTTGCATCCATGGTTCAGGTCACGCGGACATAAGAAGCTGTACTGGCGGAAACATTCCCAGACTGCGATTTGAGACATGAGGAAGTGCCTTTCTCTGGAGGCCTCTTTTCACTCTTTCTACCTTTTGAGAAACACAGAAGCTTCCCTTCCTCCTACTGCCCGAGAGCCCAGTCCCTTCCCCTCGTGGGATCACCTTCTATGCAACCCCATTAGCCAAGAAGCTTGGTGTCAACCCACTCTGGAGTGTGTCTTGTATTTTACCGTCATTACCAGAAAATGTATAATACTGAGTTTTCCAGTACCTAGGACTACTAGAAGGTGAACTCCATGACAATGCAGGCTTTGTTTCTTTGGTTCACTGATTTGCCCTCTTTACCTACAGCGGTGGCATCCACAGTATGAACGAACAGAGTTTTTCAAACCAGACGTACTTTCCAGGGATCTTGGTAGGGCCCTGGTGTGTACTGAGAAAATGGTGGCTAGCCTTATTACTGTGGCAATACATTTGCTCATTTCTCCAACCCTGTTTCCCATGGCTCAAGTTCAACAGCTAGGCCATCTGTTCTCTGTAGTCAGTTCTTGTGTCTTCTTTCTGAGTCTTGTGCATAGCACTGTGTGGAGTTGGTGCTTGGTGAATAGTCAGAGATTCGTTTGTTAGTGCAGCATGAGTGCCTGTGTGTGCGTGCGTACGTGAGCGCGCATGCGCAGGTTGTGGGCGGGTACAGGTGGACGCGGGTGTGGTTTCCATACCAGCCTGTCTTCCGTGAGCCTGGAGGATGTTTGCTGAAGTTAGTCAGAGCGGCTGCGTCTCAGCACTCTGGGTCCTTTCCTATGATTCACGGGCATTCTGGAGAAGTCTGCGAAGCCTCTAAGCTGCGGTGAAAGCCGGTATTTAAAAAAAGAGGATGACTTCGTTTCTCGTTCCCTTTTGTACATTTTTCCACTAGCACACAGGCTCCTCCAGGAAATATTGGATCTTCAGCCACCTTCAGTACAAGTTACTTTGTGATTACTACTTGTTTTTACTTTTCTTATTTCTGTCTTACTTATTTTACTGTTCTGTCTCCTCACAAGGCGTTTGTTTATAAGATTTCACTCACCATTCTGGCCCTCATCTACTTTGTACCAGCTGGCAATAAGAAGTAAGACCCGTCTTTGCCCTTGAGAAGCTCCTAGTGGGAGGAGATGGGCCAGGACCCAGGAGAAAGCTCAGGCCGGTTGAGGGTCAGGGGTTCAGGGATGATTCCAGAGGCGGTGAACTCTGAGTGAAAGCCCCTAAGGCGCCAGGGATCATGCTCAGCACGTTACAGACATTATCTCATTCCCTCCTCACTCTATGAGCTAAGTGCTATTATCCCTGCTTTTGTGTGACCTTGGATGAATGACTTCACCCCTCTGAATCTCAGTTTCCTCATCTGTAAAATGGGATCTGTAAAACCTCAGAAGGTCATAGTGAGAATTACACAGTGAAAATGTGTTTGAGGTACTTAGGACCATGCTAAGTTGGAGTCACTAAATGGCTCCTTGATGTTACTTCCTGTTACCCTTCTGAGGAAGCAGTGAAGCTGCAGCAGGCGGGTAGCTTGCTCCAGAAAGGAATGTCAAAGTGGGGATTTGGTCTCTGGGCTCTCAGCCACTATCTGTGTGGCTTTCATGTCTGCCTAGGAGTGTAGAACATGTTCGAGGGTTTTCCTGGCTGCGAAGGTGTAGTACCAGCTTTTTAGCAGGCGTGGCCAGCTCACACCGCCTGCTCTCTTCGGTGCTAGTGTTGCCTGGTCATCCTCTAAAATAGACATGGTTCACTTCCTCCCTCAGTTTCCAAATACTGTTCTTCAGCCTCCCTTTTCTTTTGAATTATCAGGCATTTTCTACCATGAAAACTATGAAGCTAATACAGGACCAGGGATTCTTACCACGGTCATTCTAATGGTGGGGGCGGGGAGAGGGGAGAGGTTTTAAGAAAAGGAAGAAAACAGGGAAAATCAAAAGCTGTTCATGTCTGGCTCTGGCGCTGCTAACTGAAATAATTTTTAAATCCTCTGCGTAGAGTTATCACCCAGGTCTTCTGGGAGCCACCTCCCAGGTCAGTTGTGAGGAGCTCAGGTCAAGATTTATGTGGTTTGTTTTCTTTTCCCCAAGCCTTTGAAGAGCCTCGAAGGAGGTAATGTTTATGGATGGTTGGTTAACTCTGTAGCACTCCGCGGGTCTCTTGCGCGACCCCTGGGGCTGCTTCCCAGGGCAGGAGGCAACAGGCCTCAGCAGCCCCATCTGGTGAGCTGGTTGTCTTGGGACCAGAGTTGGAGAGCATTTCAGGCCCCATAGTTCTGGAGTCTTCGCCGGCCACAATAGCGTCATCAGAGCGAAACGCCCCCACCATGTTCAGAATAGAACCAATTCATCCCACAGGGGAGGGAATGCTTGAAAGTCAGCGTCAAGAAGGGAAAAAACGAGGTTGGGGGTGACGCTCCCAAGGTTGAGTTTCCACAAGATGTGAGTAGATGTGGCTCTGAGATTGCTAATCCTGATCAGGTGAAGGCAGAACCCCCCGGGAATCTTTGAGGTAAAGGGAATTACAGAAAGATATACATACATTTCAAAATAAATGAATCTCTGCTTTGTTATTTTTTTTAACGGTAATATTTTCCTGGCACTGCTGGTTAGAATTACTGGTCTGGGTGTCCTGAACTCCATTTCTGAGACCCAGCTGAAACCCTGGACAGCTGGAGGAAAGCAGGCACCTTGGAGAACCGAAATATTTGGTATGCCTTTCCGACCTTATTAAAAAAAAAAAAAATGAATCTGGTTGTTTTGTTCACATGTTCCTCCACATCCGAGGATCACCACTGAGAGAACATTGGAAAAACATGTCCTTTTACAGTTACATTAGCCAGCAGTACAGGGGAGTAGAGGGTTTCAGTTCCTCGCTTCATGCAGGGACCTCTGAACTGAACACTCCGGGCCTTCCATGTCTGATCAGGAAGCCAGGAGCCAGCTCTGGGTCCTCTGCAGCTCTTCCTCTGAGTGCCAGCAAAGTGATGCCTTTTGAGAACTTCAGCCCTGAAGAAATGGTAGTTTCCCCATTCACTGATTCATGGGCTTATTCTTTCAGTCCGCACGCTGGGCATGAGACACTGGGTACATTTGCAAAGCATCTCAGCAGATCCCCAGCAATCCTGTGAAGGGTGGTCATCTTCTGCTTTTTATGGCTGAGGAAACTGAGGTACAGTGTCATTGAGCAATTGGGTTGTGTGGCTGCTTTCTCTAGAATTGGCAGTGGGGTAGTTTTAAACCTAAGAAAGACCTGAGCTCAATTCCTATGTCTTCTATTGACTTTGCATGAAGCCTTGCACAAATCTCTTAGCTGCTTCAAGCCTCAGTTTGTTCATCTGTACAAGGCGAATCAAAGCAACAGTAGCAACTTCACAGGGTTGTAGTGAGAATAAAACCAGAAAAGGTGTTCAGAGCCCCGTAAGAATAGGTTTTCCATATGGAGTATGAATGGTGGCATTATTAAGCCAAGACTGTGACCTTTTGCGCTCATCCTGGGGCCCTAAAGGACACTGCCAGCTGATAGAGAGCCTAAATGGCCTGTCAAGGGGGCAGCTCCAGTTTGGGTGCTGTGCTATCGGTGCAGGGCCATGGTGGTCTTGGGAGCTGTCAGCTTGGTTTCTCCACCAGGAGGTAGAAATATTTAACATAACACAGTGACCTCATCGGGGGCATACCAGACGCTATCATCCATAAACAGCCATTTATTCAAGTTGAGCAGGCTCCACATGCCACAGGTAAGCTGGGGAAAGAGAGATTGAATTGTTCAGTCCTGTAGGAGTGAAGGCCGAACAGAAATGCAACACAACCCTTACTCATAACTTCCAATTGCTGCAAGTTTTTTTTAAAAAGCAGGTTAAACAGGTTTTCCATTGGAAAGGTGTGGAACAGACCCAAAGCAGGACAATGATGAAGTTTTCTTTTTTACTGAATGATGGTCTTCCTCTTGCTCTTCCCCAACTCCCTCTTGGCTCCAGCCACCCCTCCTGCACCCCACAGCATTCATCACTGTCTCTTTCCAGCCCTTGAAGAACATGTGAAGCTCAAATCAGGCTGACTCAGCTATGCAAGGGCATACTTTTCCCAAATGAGCAGAACTATTCCTACTTTAAAAAGTGTATAAAACATTTATGAAATGAGAAAGAGGGAGATTCAGAAGTTATTGTACAAGCTGGAAAAAGGTAATGCCAAATGCATGGGGGAACACATCTGATAGTTTTCTTTGAGGTTGCCATTTAAAATATGTAGACGTGGTTTTGCTCCCTCCCTGCCCCCAGCTCCAGCTGCACATGCGTACAAGAACTCACATATATACTCACACACACTCCTGCTGAGCGGTCCAGCAAAACGTGGGCCTGCTCTTTATAGGCCAGGGAGCTTGTTGCTTTAGTCTGATGTTTTCATTTCTGTGCACCTGCACCCTTTGCCTAAGACCCCTCCACATTACCCCTGCCGCAGTCAACAACATGGAGATGTGTGTTTCTGAATAAGTCACACATTATGCAATTTGGTTTCCTCAAGAATTTGGTAGAAAAGCTCTGGATTCTGGTGAATCGGGCTTAATTGCATTCTTTATGTCCTGGGCATGCTTCAGCTGCCTTGGGTTTGTTCTCTGGGACTCCAGTGTCTCCACCAGTTACTCTCCCTCCTCCAGGAGCTGCAGGTATGATGAGATTGGGGTCTTTCCCTTTGCAGGTGTAAGGCAGTGGGCTGGATTTGTGGGTGGTGAGGACAGCATGAGCTATCCAACATTCTAGTGGCTAAAAATTACATGGGGGTGACCCCCAGGCTGTAGGTTGATGAAGAGCTATTTCACGTGTTTGAAGTCAAGTTGCTATGGAATCCCATTTGCAAACACTAAGTAACCTAGTCCAATATGGTACAGATTATCAATAGTAGCAGGGGGAATGTTGACTGTTACAACTTGGGCTTATAAGAGATTTCTCTGCTTTTGGGGCAATACATAGCCAGTGGTATTTTAAATCCATTTTCCATTTGATGGATCTCTAAATCATGGCAGAGACAGTACTGCCAAAACCAGGCAGTGACTTTTCCCTGGTAGAGGCGAGGCAAGCCAATTGGGACTTAAATAAGACCCAGAGTAAGGTAATCTCAAGGTACCCTGGCCTAGAGTGAAAGTGACCTTACTTTCTTAACCAGGAAGAGCAGTGAAGATTAGCAAATCAATGGTGGTGAGTTAGAATACAAAGAATGAGATGAGAAATGAAGAATTTGAGTTCTAAGTGCATCTTCAGACTCTCCAAACAGACAGTATCTTTACAATATTCCTGAGAGTTGATGATCTGGCTTCAGTTTCAAATGGTACCTGTTATGGCTTAGATCTAAAATGTCCTCCCAAACTCTCATGTGTGGTGGGTTCTTCAGAAGGTGATTGGATCACAGGGTGCTATCCTATCAGAGGATTAACCAGCTGAGGAATTCATAGTTACATGTGCTGTTAAGAAGGGAGGCCCAGCTGCGGGAGGTGGGTCACTGGGGTCATTCCTTTGGAAGGTATATGTCTCTCTCTGTTCCTCCTGCTCAGTTTGCATTCTGGCTGCCATGGGGTGAGCAGCTTTCCCCTGCCTGGCCTTTTTTCCATTCTGCTTCTGCCTTGGAGCCAGCCAACCATGAACTGGACCCTCTGAAACCATGAACCAACATCAACCTCTTATTCTTTAAGTTGTGTATGTCATATATTTAGTCCCAGTGAGGAGAAACTAATGAATATTGAGCCCCCATGAGGAAAAACTAATAAACATTCCACTGCTACACAACTGTGATCATTTGAATTTTTGCAGTTAAGGTTAAATTGGTCTTTTCAAAAGATCCTTTACTTAACTATTATTACATAAGGCATTACTTCTTGAATTAAGCATCTTAAAAACAACAACACATTAGTAGAGATTCAGGAGCAACTTTGTTGAGTGGTTTTGGTTTACAGTATCTCACAAAGTTATCTTGGTGAGGGCCATTGGTCAACTGAAGGTTGACAGGTGGTTGGGAGACCTACTTCCAAGGTGGTTCCCTTCTAGGCTGTTTGGCAGAAGGCTTCACTTCATTGCTGGCTCTTGGCAAGAGGCCTCAGTTTTTCACCAGCTGGCCACTGCATAGAGCTGCTGGAGCTTGGTCATAACAGAGGAAGTGGCTTCCCTCAGAACAAGTGATCTGAGAGAGTGAGCAAGGATGAATCCACAATGTCTTTTATGACCTAGTCATGGAAGTTCTGCCACATGGTTGGTTCTGCCACATTCTTGTCAATAGAGGTCAAATCTAGCCCACATTCAAGAGAGAAGATAGAGATTCTATATTTTGAAGGAAGGAGTGGCCAAGAATTTTTGGACATTGTAGTGAATTGGCAACTGGTGGTCAACTTGTAACACCCAGCTGAACTGGACCAGCATGGTGCTGGGTGTGGGAGGACCACCTGAGGATTGTTGCCAGCAGCATAAGAGACAGAACCGGAGAAGAGAGGTTGTTGGGAGCTGGTAGAAGCTGTTGGGAGCCTGTTGGAAGCTGTTGAGAAGCTTTAGGGAGCTGCTGGTTTTCCTGGAGGAGTTTGTCATTCTGGCTTTCCTGATGAACTTGGCTATTCTCATCAGAGGACGAGCTTGGGACCTCGTTGTTGTTGAGAATGGCTATGGTTCACTTTAGGGGAGCTCCGGTCCTCACTTTGTGCACCACTTTCTGGCTCCAGAGGAGAAGATGGTGCACTGTTCAGCCTCCTGGAGAAGCTTGTCATGTTGTCTTTCCTCATCATAGGAGGAGCTCAGCACCTCAAGTTGCTGAGGTTGGCTGTGATACTTTTCAAGGGAGCTCTGGTTCTTACTTTGAGCATCACTTCCAGGCTCCAGTGCAGATCCCTCAGCCTGCTAGCACAGATCCTTCATCCTGCTGGCACAGACTTTCTAGCTTCCACCACTGACCTTTGGGCCTTCCCAGCAGAGATCCAGGAAACAGGCCTGCATGAGACATTGTCATGGGCTGCAGGCCTCCAGTTGGCCTCATGGGAGGCATTGTTATGGGCTGTAGGTCTTCATCTGGATTCTTTGGTCTTTAGTGTATGGACAGATTTCCTGCACTCTTTTTGTATATGATTCTATGGGAGACTATTACAAATAATCTTATAAAATATGTGTCCTATATTATATTGTTCCCCTTGCAAAATCTTAAACCACAACAGCCATATTTTTAAACAACCACACTCACAGTTCTCCTAAATGGCACTACATGTAATAATCTGTTTAACAATTGCTGCTGTAGTTCTTCAGATATTTGATGGTAGCTATCCTTATTTAATACTTCTGGTTAAATATCTCTGATATCCTTGACTAGTCTGTACATGATTTGATATATATATGTCTGTACTATCTTTGTATAGTGTGACAATGAATCTTAAACCTGGTATCCTGAATTGAATATAAGATTCAAACAGTGAGTACAGAAATCTATGTAATTGTTAGAGCTTATTAACCCATGCTAAGCACAGCATCTGGCATATAGTAACCATTCAATTAAATTTTGTCATTGTAAGAATGGAAAATAAATTACTATATGAATGGACCTATTTCTACCAAAAGAATATGTTAGTATGCTTTTTAAATACAGCTTTATATATTGTTGCTTAATTTGAGCTTGTTAACTAAAACACCTAAATCCATCCCTTTTTCCCCTAGCCCTTTTCCCAGCTAAGATTCTCCTGTTCTTGTCTTTTTAAAACCATCTCTTTAATCTCTACTAAGTAACATTCTGGAATCACAAATCACAAATCTATTCGTGAACGAGCTATCTCTTTTAAATTTATATGACCCAAAAATATAATCTAGGGGTTGTTCATTTGTCATTATTTAAATATTATTTCTTTAAGCTACAAGTTAGTTCATCTATGCAAGTTTGCTCTGCCTCCAGAGCTCTTAATTACCTGCTTGTCCCTCTCACTGGGCTTTGCGTGCAGTCAACACCCAAATAAAATGAAAAAAATTGAAATGAAATAAGGTAAAACTTATTCTAAGTGTACTTAAATCCAAGACATCCTTAA